AGGTCTGGCATATTAATTCCTGCACCTGCCCTGAACCCTCTGTGTATAGGCTCTCTCTTAGAGTGAGAACTGTACTTCCATTCCCAATAGAACAGTTTTCCACAGTGAAATTGAATGTCAGCACGATAGGTTTCGAGCTAGATAAACTGCCAGGTACAAGAAGACAGAAAAAAAGTAACAGATCTCTCAGCAAAATAGACTTTTGATTCACATGCATCTTGCACGTCATCATTCTGCTGCGCTTCAGTTCATGGCTTCATGCATTAGAACTTAGAAATTAATAAATAGATCAAGATCTAATTAATAATATAATTGATTGATTGACTGATTGACAGTGATTGTACAAAATGGCGGCATGCATATAGGGTTCAAGGATGATTCTCTCTACAGTCCTTGTTATTCTAGTACTGGTATCTTCGGGTAGTTGTCAGTCTAATGTATCTCCAATAGACTTCAACACACCTCAATCCTGTAGCCATGATACTCAGTACTTCTACCCTGGAACCTCTCCTGTATCTCTTGCCCACCCAACTCCATCACTTCAAGCAATGGTGAGTGTTCATTCATTCACTGTGCCTATACTTATAATAATGATAGGATTATCCTGTAACTGTGTGACTGGATACAGACAAACCTCTAACATTGGACCAGTCACTTGTGAGGCCTGCCCTAGTCTCAGCTCAGTAAGCAGGAGCATAATTTATACACTGCATCAGTGCCAAGTATTTATGTAGCAGTAGCATAAGTGTAGTGGTATTGTTAGGATTGGGATTGTTTAAGCTAGATGTAGGTTTATAATATACGTCACTCCACCCATTGCATCAGTTCCATCCAGAGAATTCAACACAAGACCAGTCCCAGGTTGATCTTACATTATGTTCTGTGTAACTGATGCAATCGATGGAGTTACATGTACATGTGCATACATTATAAACACAGCTTCAGTATTATGTGGACTTACATGTAATATGTAAACCATGATTTTGAGGTGTGTATCACTAGTAACGTATGACTTGGGCCCTGAGATGTCTGCCTGAGGCAAAGCCAAGAGCAGACATTGAGGAGCAAAGGTCTTATATTTTACTAATACTCACCAAGAAACCATGGTACATATAACATGTTATATAATTATGTTATACTGTAACTGTATTACATGTACATGTACCTATACCTAGGTTAGATCTGATGATGGTTTGTATTGCCTCACTTGTCTGTCTCCATTGATATACACTGGAGGGACTTGCACTGGCTGTGAGGATCAGACTTCTATATTTGGTAAGTACTGTATAGAGGGGTTTTAAAGGATAACAAATTTTGCAAATTTTGTGGATTTTTTAAGATTCTCAAAATTAAATTCCTTGAAAACTAATTTAATACGGTACAAGATGACAGAATAGTGGAAATTTATGAAAATTAATTACATGAACTTTTGGATACAGGTCATTTGAAAAAACTATTATCCTCGAAAAACCACTATGAAGAGTTTTGCTACTGATAATAACACCTTGACATTATGTTCATACCTCTAAGGAGAGCTCCACCCAGTTACCAAAGATTAACATTGCATATAAAGAATAATTTTGATGGTTTACTTCTTTACTTATTGTAGTTGACACAATTCCCATCAATCGTTCATCAACTGGAGACAGAAGGTGCCAAACATGTCCAGCTAGCACGATTGCTGACTCTAGCAAGAAGCTCTGTATCCCTTGTGGTATCAGTAATTGCTCCAACTGCCTCTCATTCACTAATGGAGTCTGCTTCACTCAGCCACTCACTCCTCCTACTTCTACTCCCTTTCCATTTTATTCTAATTTCAGTTCTTCCCTTGCTCTATGCAACGTACGTATTGAGTGTCTGGTTTCATTCTAATTTATTTGAATTCCTCTAGAATGGTAGTTTGAGTGCCTGCCAGTTGTTGATCAATTTGTGTGTGCTTCAAGGTTATAGCATGACTGACCAAGCTTGTCAGGAAATTAGACGTCTTTCATCAAATTCGTTAGTTTGTAA